TATATTTAAATGTTTTCTCTAATTTAAACATCAAAAATAAAATTTTATAAAAATATGTACCAGACTTCCCCCCTGGATGTGAGTAAAATGGTCCCTTAGGAGGTTGGAATTAAAAATTTTTGTATAGAAAGGATAATATTCTTCTCCATGTGAAAATGAAAACCAAAGATAAAAATAGGGGAAGGAAGTTTCCAGTTCAACAGTTAACGTATAAGTGCTTCTAGTTAGCTACATCAATTCACCCTTAATTTAAGGAAGATTCATGTAGTCATGTCGGCAGCCAGAATAAATAATCAAACGGATTTTTTAATATGTATTTTTAAAATATAAATTAAATCTCATTATTTAAATTATTTATAATTAAATTTATATAAAATTTTATATAAAATTTTAATAAAATATAAAATATAAAATATAAAAATATAATATAATATAATATTTATATTCAAAATTTATAAAAAAATATAAATATAATATAAAAATTTATATATAATTAATTAAAAATACCTTAATTTTAATTAACAAGTCTCAATATATATTTTTAAAATACAAATTAAACAAATTCATAAACAAAACACTTGCCCTACTTGACTAGAATTAGCAATGCATGGCAGTTGAGAGAATAAATAAACCTCGTTTTATTTTTTTTACTCAGGAACCGACTCAATCACCTAGAAGTAGAGTTACTGTTCTATCGTAAAAAATAAAATTAAAAAATAAAAAAGAGGGCGGAAAAAACACATTCTAAGGTGTGAATTGACCACACATCAATAGTTGTGGGTCCATTATCAATCAATTGCTAGGTTGGAAAAAAGGAACACGTTCTGAGGTTTGAATTGATAAAGTCACCCTCTGTATCACACATCAATAGTTATAGGTACATTATCAATCATTTGCTCTATTTTTTAGATTGGGGTCGTTTTTTCTTAGACTTTAGAGAATCATTTGTTGAAATTATTAGTATTCATTATTGTTACGGCCGTAGAAACACATGGTACAAATGGAATTAATGTGTAACCACATGGAGGGCAGAC